GCATTATACAATGGAGTAAGAACATTAGGCATTCATGAATTTTCAGTTTAGTTTTTCTTGGTAGCGAATGTGGGTTATTTATTATATATATGCCATTGGATTTGTAGGACCACAGTCTTGACTTCATAAGTCAGTTCTTTAAGAAGTATATTTCAGTTTATGGTGCATAATGAAAAGGAGTTCTAATCAACTCATTAGGCTTATTGCCTAAAACTTGACCAGATTTGTGGTGATAGGGAGTGGTCATAGACGTACTAGAAAATTTTAGTCAAATCCTCATCACTTTCTCCAAGACCATAAGAACAATAAGCTGGCCTTTGAAATGAATGAAAAGTGTATACTTAGAAGGGCATACATTAACATTTGATTAGGGGACTGTTACATGTAAACTAAGGAGCAGGGTGAATTGTAGAAAGTATAACTTTTAGTTTAAATAATAGCGTTTTCTAGTATTCAGTGTGCTTTATCCTGGAATCGTAGAATTATAATTTCTGGCAGCATGATTTTAATGCCTTAAAGGTTTTTATAAGCAAAACTGTACTGTCCTAATTAGATACAATTTCTGTCTTGAAATCTTTTTCATGTTCGTGTCTTAAGTCATGTTGAAAACAATTCTAGGCTGATGGGGGAATGAGTGGTGGTAGTTTCTTGGTACTAGCTTTGTAGGTAAGGCTAGTTTGTTGTGATAATGTAAATCTCATCTCTCATCCTGGACCCAAGTACAGATTTGTTCATCTTACTTAAATGTCCAACTTTGCCCCTGATATTTTCTTAATAAACTTTGTATTTAGTAAAATAATATTTTTTCCTTTTTTGGGATGTATGTCTTCTTCATGCTTTACTTGTGTTACTATAGAAAGTAAAAAGTTATCTCTGAATTATTGGCAGGGTAGGTGGTGGTGTTCAGTTGTGTCTGACCCTTTGTGACCCTGTTAACCATAGCACACCAGTACTGTCCATGGGCTTTTCTTTGCAGAGATAGTGAAGTGGTTTGCTGTTTGCTTCTCCAGTAGATTAAGACAAACAGAGGTTACGTGACTTGCCCAGGGTTATATAACTAGTGTCTGAAGCTGCATTTGAATTTAGGTCTTCCTAACTCCTGACTCCAGGCCCAGTGGTTCATCCAGTGAGCCACTTAACTCATTAAGAGGGTAAACATTAAGGCTCTATAAATAAAATTTCCTTTTAACTATTAAAATACCATCTATATAGGAAAAACTACAGTCTTTGTATGGGGCTAGCTTTGTTAAATCCATCTTGGGTATTTTGAGTGGGTTGTAGAGTCTTGGAAGATCTGTGTGAAAGTTACATAGTCAGGATAGCATAGGCACCTGTCTTTTAATTTAATTTAATTTTTCTAAAATGATGACCTTAAACATCAAATAGAATGACCATTTCTATATATATATATTAAAACAGGAGAGAATTTTACTTGAAATTTCAAATTTATTATCTGCCTTTCTATGTATTCAAAAAGGACCTGGAAAAACATCTGATTCTTTCTGATCTTCCTTCTGTTCTCCTTTAAAAAAAAAAAACAACCCTATCTTTAAACCCTTGCCTACCTTTCAACCCCTAATCCTCATTAAAAAAGAAAAAAAAAACCTTTGTAGTAAATATGCATAGTCAAGCAAAATATATTCGCACATTGGTCGTATCAAAAAATGTATGTCCTATTCTGCATCTTGAGTTCATCACCTCTCTCTCCAGAGGTGGATCATTTGTTTCTTCATGGGTCCTCTGGAATCTTTGTTGGTTATTTCGTTGAGTTCACAAGTCTTTCACAGTTGTAGTACTTGTATTTCTAACGTAAAAGTTAAGGTCCTTCCTTCTTAAATTAGAATTAATCTCTCCGTCTCAAATTTGCTTTCTCACACCTCTTGAAAGTGTTGGCAAAGTGTTAGCAAGGGTGGTCTTGGAGTTATTGCCCCTAGGGTTGACTGATACTGTTTAATCTGAATCCTAGCCACCAACCATTCAGCCTTTTATCTTTTTTCAGATCTTAGACCTCAAAGTCTATTTCAGAATATGAATCTATTGAGAATTTGCCTTATATGCCTTGTACCATAACTTGTAAAATGTTCTTCTTTGAAAGTATGAAATTAAAAAGTTCTTTTCTCTTGTAGAACCTGAGTAGGCAGGGGGAGGGGTTTAAAGGTGATTTAGCATTCTCTTTGTTGATGAGGAAGGAGTCTGTTCTAGATCATCCCAAAAGTGGTCATGCTGCCTCTGCTTAAAGACATCCAGTGACAGGGAAATCACTACCTGGCTGCACTTTCACAGCTTTAATTGTTAGGATGTTTTCCCTCATCCACTGGTAATTTGCTTAGTTCAGTCTCTTGCCAAGAATTTTAAAAACTGGTTTTAACCTCCACTGCATCTTTTAGCATTATGGAAGATGATGCTACTCAATCATCCATCATGTTTCCTTATAGGATTTTTACAAATAAGTTCATATTCTAAACAAGTGTTGCCTTTGGCTGCTGCCAGTTTCCACTTGGCAAGTAATTCTAGTGTTTGCCAACTAAGGTGCTTTGTAGGCTTTTTTCGGTTTCCTTGTTAGGTTAGCTAGTTTACTTTGGTTAAATATCTGTATAAAGGTATTCTGATTGGTTTCAATGCCATTTCTACTGTCTGCTACCCATTAGTTATTATCATCTCCTTGTTTCAATATTTAGGATTGGCCAAATGGATAAAGAATATCTCTTGCTCAGATTAGAACATGCAGTTGGATGGACAACTTGATCATGCCACAGTCCCATTCAGTAAACTCCAGTGGCTCCCTGTCACCTCCAGGATCAAATATAAAATACTATTCGACAGCCAGAGCCCTCCATAACCTGTCCCCGGTTGAGGTGCAGATGCTCGGGGTGCTGAGACCCGAAGATCACAATGCCCGGGTACTGCCTGAATGAATTTGACCCAAGTCTTCTTTCAGCCAAAGATAAGGTTTTATTAGAGATGAATCATACAGGCCACACTCTTAAGGAATCTGAACATTAGTGAAGCCTGTAAGTATGAGCAGATATGAGGAAATCTCAGTGTTTAAATGGGGGCCAGAATGGATCTTACACACAGCCAAATAATTTTGGGTTTTAGGTAGAATTCTGATGGGAGTGTTAAATGGGGTCATCTGGGAATAGACAATGGAGGGCCAGGCTTCATCAGGGTATCAAAGAACTGGAAGATAGAGAATGAAGAGGTTGAATGGGATCTGGGTAAGATCAAAGATGGGAAATACACTAGGCTTCATTAGGGTATCAAAGGGAGATAAGGCCGAGGTGATAACTTCCTAGACCAGATGAATGAGTTCAAAGAAAGTTTATGGGTTTTCTAGGGCCAGCAGACAAATGGGACCTAAATTCTTGTTGGACTGAGGGGTAAAGGTCTACCTTTCCAGTCTTCTTATACTTTCCTCTGGTTCATTAATACTGGCCTCCTTGCTGTACCTTGAACAAGTCATTCCATCTCCCCTCTCCGTGAATTTTGGGTGTCTGTCCCATCCCCCCAACCATTGCACTGGAACTCTCTCCCTCCTAGTCTCTGCCTCTTGGCTTCTCTGGCTTCCAAGTCCCAACTGAAATCTCTGTCTTCTATGACAAGCCCTTCTGGACCCTCCTTATTACTAGTGCCTTGCTGCTTTTGATTTTCTCCAATTTGTTCTGGGTCTGTCTTGTTGTGCATAGTTGTTTTCATGTTGTTCCTCCCATTAGACTGTGAGCTCCTTGAGATTAGGGACTTTTACCTTTTTTTTTTTTTTTGTATTCTCAGCGCTTAGCATAGTGCATGACACATACTAGGCACTTAATAAGTGTTTATTGACTGACTGAGAGTCATCAGAACCTGTCCATCAGAATATGCATATTTGGGAATTGACCCCAGAATAGTTGACAAGAATAGTTTGGATGTCTTCAGGAAATTGTAATCTTTAATGCCCCCATTTCTGGAAGCAAAGGCTTATCTTTTTAATTCTAATGTTTGATAGATTGTGTTGTATGCCCATAAGGTATGGAGCACACCAGTCTCTAATGAACTGAAAAGGACTGTGGAATGGAAAAAAATGCATGGTGGGTTTAAGCAGGCCATAGCATGTAACCAGTGAGAACGGGATAAGAGATGTCCTCAGAAAAGTGAAGGGGTAGAACAAATGTTCTGGTCATGTGGCGAGGGTGAGGATCGACTCCTGTGTTCTACTCAAAGAGAAAGTGAGCAAGGCCTCCAGCATAGAGAGTGAACCCCTGATGGTGGACTTCGGGCAGGCAATGGACAGAATGGGCCGATGGCTTATTAGAGGGGACGTTGATGAGATAGCATCCATTTTGAGTATTGCGGAGGTTATTTGGCTCCACCTCTCTTCAGTCTTGCTTCTCGGAACCCTTTGAGGCCACATTCAATTAAATCTGATTCACATGGATATAAATGACAGCTATCCCATAACTCCCAGGCTTTCCCAGGTCCTCCAACTCCTGGCTACCAGGAGACAGGGAAGGGAGGAAATAAGCATCTATTAAGTGCCTACTATGTGCCAGGTATCGTGCTCAAGCTTCTTACAGATATCGCCTTGGGGCCTCACAACAGCACTGCGACATGGGTGTTATTATTATCCTTTTTTACAGTTGAGTAAACTGAAGCATACAGCAGTTAAGTGACTTGGCCAGGGTTACTCATCTCCTGAGTGAGACTGGAGTTAAACTCAGCTTTTCCTAACTCCAGGACTGACGCAGCGCAGCCTTAATCAGTATTAGCTTTTAGGCTGTAGTTGAAGACTCATTGAACTATTGAAAATACCAATTCTTTTTTACCTGAACAGTGGTCTGTAGCCAGGTGTCCCCATCCCATACATGTGTGCTTGGGTTTTTTTTTTGTTTTGTTTTGTTTTTTATCTCAAGTAAGATTATAGAATTTAGAGCCAGAAGGAGCCTTAGAGATCACCTAGTCCTGAGGTTCTTAACCTGGGGTCTGGGAACTTGTTTTTAAAAATATTTTGATAATTACTTAAATATAATAGGCATCCTTTATATTTTATTTTATGCATTTAAAGTATTATTCTAAGAAGGGGTCCACAGCCTTCACCAGACTGGCTTCCCAAGGAGACTTGACACAGAGTGAAGAACTTCCTGCTCCAGTCTAACCTCTTCATTTTATTAAAGAAACATGTGTAGTGTCACTCTCAGGTGAGTTAATTAAGTAGTTCTTGTTAGATATCTGATTTGAATGAATTACCACAAAATATGTATCACTACCCATTTCATGATTGAGTCTCTATCCTGTGGCTAGAAATTAAGGTGCTAAATATAGGGGAAATTTTACTTAGAAAAACAAAACATTTTCTTGTAATTCCTTTTATTAGTCCTAGTCACCCATAAACTGAATAATCAAGTTATAGAATAACATGATTCCTTTGGGTGATGTATTTTTAGCAATTTCTAGCAAATGCACAGCCAGTTATGACCCTGAAAATATACCATCCCCTTCCCCATAAACCCTTTATTTAATAGCACCCTTTTGTCACATCTTGCCACTTTAAGGAGAACTTAAAATGACATTTTTTTAAAAAATGTAAATTTTAGGACGAACACATTACTTTGTCTCTGAAAAAAATGTCCATTAGCAGTAAGAATTTATAATTTATACTTCACTGAAAATAGATTCCTGTGGTCTGACACAGAAAATGAAATAAAAGTTAAGCATAGCCTTTGGTTCCTGAATAATTGTCTTGCCTTTTCATTGAAAAAATTGAGATTATCAGAGTGTTTGAGAGGGAGCAATATAACCAGGAACCTTATGTATTCTTTTTCATTTCATCATAATCATTGTTTGTGAAGTAGCCGTGGTGATTGAAATATGTTCAGTCTGAACATATATGGGATGAGGGGGTGAAAAAAAACTGTTTGCAATAAAGCTATTTTGCCAAAAAGCACTTGTGGTTGGGTTTTTTAACAACATATTACGGAGCTTTACAATTTGCATAAAAAATATGTTGTCTATAACTTAAAAAAAAAATCCAAGTACCTTCCTAGAGACAGTTGAGACAGGTGTCATCTACTATCCAGTAGGAGGAACATGCAACTGTGTGATAGTTAACATTTACGCAAAGTAAGTATTGGATTGCTTTTGTGAATATTGGATAACTTACATGACATTTATTGAAGTGTTTAATGACGTTTGGAAAATAAAATGCAAAACTTTCTTATAACATATTTTGTACTTCCCCAGTTTAGGATAAAACATATCCTCTATATTGGTTGAAATGGAAAATCAGCCCCTTGTAGACAGAAGCTTATGTCACATGCTTTTTTCTTTTTCTTTTTTCTTTTTTTTTTTTTTGGTGGGAGGGAGGTTCCTGCTGTGGCATGTTCATTAGTCTTAACGCGGATGTTGGAAAATTTTTCATAGCAGGTCCTTATGGTTATTGCCTACCTCATAGCAAGTAGGAAGCTGTTACACAGTTGAGGTTAGTATTGCTTTGGGAATAGTTGATCAACATGTTTGATGATAAGTTTTTAAACATCAACTTATCCAAGTTACCTTTCCCGCATACTTTGTTAAGCTAGAAAAATATGGAAAGAATACTTAAAAATTTAACAGCAGAGCGTTATGAAACAGAGCTCAATGTCTATTGGAGTGCACACTATTCTGGCTTCATCCACCTTAGTAACTCATCAGCAAAGTCAGCTTTGTACCACAGCCCATTTTTGGTCATTACTAAAATACAGAATTATTGGTTGAGTATGAATATTATTAACATGGAATACAGCTAGGTAGATATGGACCCAGATAACTTGTTAGGAATAATAGCTCTGAATCAAGGGTAAAATGAAAAACTGACAACTCTTTTAGTATTCCAGATTTTAATTTATAGGGTCGTGGTGCACTGGAAAGAATGTTATACCAGGAGTCAAGGGGACCTGTTTCTTGCCCTGACTGCCCCTCAGTAGGTAAGTTAATCATATTAGAACAGTCATTTAGCCCACTGAGACCAGTTAATCTGCAAAGTTATGAACCCTGTGATCCCTAGGGTCTCTTTTGACTCTGAGATAAGCATTTGTGACAAAGATGGTGGCAGGGAGAGACAGCCAATCAATTTTTATTTTATTCTTTTACTTAGGATATGTTATTTTTACACTGTAATGTTGATCGATACCTTTTCCCAGTGACCAACATGTGGTCAATGGCAGGTTAGCCTTTGTATGAGAAAAGAGATCCAAGCATTTGGGAGGAATTAAGCCTAAATTGTTTCTTTCTTGCTGTTTAGCCAGTTATGCTTGTCTATGGATATTATCTTTTCCTTTGTTGTAAAGGGCTAAACAGATATTTTCAATTCTCTGTTGAAGCTCAAATGAGAAAATGGATATGAAAACACTTTGAAATTCAGTCATTTTGTGATCCATTACTTTTGTGTATAGTACTTGATAGATTTCTGGGTGTTTCCATATCAGTCATCTCATTTGATTTTCAAAAAGACCTATAAGGCAGACATTATCCCCATTTAATAGAAGAAGAAATAGAGACTACTTAAGTATAAGGGGAGATAGCTTGCTAAACAGAGGATCTCGGTTCAAATTCTGCCTCTGAAGCTTACTATCTGTGTGATCTTGAACAAGTCCCTTGACTTTCCTCAGAATTTTCCCCATCTGTTAAATGAAGGAATTAGACCAAATGGCCTTTGGATTTCCTTCTACTTCTAGATCTAAGATCCCCTGATCAAACGAGATCATAATTTTAAAGCACTTAGCACAGTGCCTAGCATATAGTTGTTTATATAAATCACATATGTTATACAAATGCTTATTCCCTTCCCTCCTTTCTTTCCCTTCACTTCCCCCATGAAAGCACATTTTTTAGCCATAAAATACTACATAAATGTGAGTTATTGTTTTGGTTGTGATGATATAACTTAGTCAAGGGCACATGGCTGTTGAGTGGTAGGGCTGGCAGCAGATTTCGGGGCTTCCATTCCCTAACCTGATGTTCTTTCCATCATGCTATGCAGTCTGGCTGTGCTCCACCCTGCAGAGCACCCAGAGGAGCCCCATGCAGGATGGGGAAGGGCCATGAGTCCATGCCACAGGAGAACAGGCTGAAGCTAATGGGGTCGTTTCTTCTAGAGGAGAGTCAGGAGGGACTGAGAGCAGTCCACAAGGATCTGAAGGACTGTCCAGGGGAGGAGATACTACCTAGACTCGTTTTGTTTGGTTCCACAGCCTCGAACCAGGAACAGTGGATCGAAGTTTCAAACAGACTAATTTGGGCTTAATGTCAGGGAGGGGAACCTTCCTAACAAACAGTGAAATGGGCTGCGTTGACAGGGGGTGGGCTCCCCATCCTTAGAAGTCTGCAAGTAGAGGCTGGATGGCCACTTGTCAGATATGTTCTAGTGGGGATTCCTTTTGTGAGTGGCTTGGGCTAGAGGGTCATGGAGGCCCCCGCCAGCTCTCAGATTCTAAGATTAAATGAGTAATGTAAAAAATTGCAATTAAGTTTGTAGCCGTTCAAGATCTTCTGTAAGACAGACAAGATGCCACTAATATTTGACTTCTACTATGATGAATAACAGTCTTAGTTAAGTTTAATGGACGAAGTGTTGGGGCAAGTGTAACAAATTAGCAAAAAAGTACTATAGGAAGGTTTAAAGCAGTATATGAAGACCGAATAGAATAGCAAACATCATAAACATAGGTCCAAAGGGCAGACAGGCACTCAGATGGACAAGGGTCTTGGCTGACCCCTGCCGGTGAATAATAGTAACAATATTTAGTATTTTGCCACCTAGTTGGTAACGAAATTTTGTTCAGTGTTAGAACTTGGATGCTATTTTCTTAAAACAGTTGTATGAAAATAAGAAATAAAGCACCTGTTATATATGAAAAAAAAACAGAAATAATTTGTTCTGGTTTGTTCGTTTTGGTCTGTACCTGTGATTTCAGGAAATGGTGATTTAAAGTTTTAGAGTTATCTTGGACACTTAAGAGAGAAAGGCCTTGCCCAGGGTTACTCAGCCAGGATGTCAGAGACGAGACTTGAACCTAGGTCATCTATACTCAGAGACCAGATGTCTATCCAGCATGTCACATTGCCTCTAGAGGGCGATAGGACTTAGTGCAGGGGTGGGGAACCTGTGCCCTCAAGGCTATGTGGGTCCTTTGACAGAATCTAAACTTCACAGAATTTGTTCTGTGAATGTTAATGTGTTCTGTGAACATTCTGTAAAGTTTGGATTCTGTCAAAGGGCCCCACCCAAGAACCTAGAGGGCCACAGGTTCCCCACCCCTGACCTGGTGTATATGACGGCGGACAAAGATAGTAATTTAGGAAAATAGAATGTTTCTTAGGTAGTATCAGGTTGGACAGGTACTTTTTGTCACATTCAGTAGTTGAACAGAATGTAACCTGCAGAAAGGATAACTATCTCTTTTCTAAACTGTGGTTTGGTTCAAAGGTCTCATTGAAGACATATTCTAAACAAATTCGATGACTAACAATTTCCAAAGAGAAAATAATAAACATGTCCAATCATTTATCTTTTCAATCAATAATTCAACTTTTAATGCAAACATTTAAAGAAAGAAATGCAAATTAGAAAGGAAACTTTCCCCTGAAAACATTGAATGTGGCTAACTCTTTGAAGTGGTACTTTATACAAAGGTTTATACATAAATGTCTTTTGGGTTTTTTGGATAGATTATCAGTAAATGATGCTAGATTGTTTTTTATTGCAATGAGAATAACATGAATCCCTCCCTCTGCCCCCCACCCCAACCCAATCTGATACATACACATGTATGTGTAAAACTGGGAAAGCCTAATAACCCACAGCAGTCAGCACAAGATGATTTTAGCCCCAGGAGTTCAGAAGCATCTTCCACCGAGCACCTTCTTCTAACAAGTACTTTAGGCTCGTTCCAAATGTCCAGAACCATTTGCTAAGAAAATGAATTAACCTATTTCATTTGCTCTTTTCTTTCTCTCTTTAAACAAAGTAGGCCTTATAAAGTAGAATTACCATTTCTAAATTAAGTATAGGTTGTATTAAATACAATACTAACAACGAGAGTGGTATCAGATTTAAATTGTAGGAAGGCATACAATAAATTAAAATATCCCTTTGATTTTTGGGGTCTCCAATGTGATCTTCAGGGGAGGCGGCATTAGCTAACATTTAAGTTTTCAGGATTAGTGCAGTTTTAAGTGCTTCAGTGGGAAGGAAGGAATCTCTCACTCAATAAATTATTCCATTATTTATGTAACATTTATAAATGGGAAGAGAGAAAATACTCCAACCCTTGCCACTGAAGTATAGATACTCTATTGTATCATGGGGTGCTACATGCATTTGTTCCCTCATTGTAAGGGAGAATGATTACTCATATGCAGGATACAATTTTATGCTAGTACTTGGAATAGTACTGGTGGCAAATTAGTCCACAGGACTCTGTCTGTTATTTACTTAAGTAAATTACTTGGAAAAAATGATGTAGATTGTAGTTCAGTAAAACAATAAAGTGCTTTAAATGAGATTGGCTGTTTCTGCATCATTTTTTACTTCACTGTAGGCACCAAAATCCACCAAATTAAGAGTTGATAGTATCTCACAATAAGTAAAACTTTAAAAGCCTCCTTTTCTACTAAATGCCCAGTACTGGTCATATATCTGACTTACTTAACAATTCTCTTTATCAAGTTGTTTTCCATGTCCTTATGTCACTAAATCAGCTTCCTAATGGATAAGGAAGAAAATTAGGACATAGGCTGAACATGTGAAGATGGAAAGGAGGGGGGCCATAAATATTACTTATATTAAAATTTTCACTTGTGAAATTGTGTATCAAAGGGGGTTGAAGCAAAAAAAAAAAAAGAGAGAGAGAAGACCCGCTTTTCCAATCCAGTGTGTATGTCCAGATGAATTGAAATACACCATATAGAGCTTCTTGAAGAAGGGTCTTTTGGGGACCTATGTAAATCTAAGAGTCTTTAGTCCAAGTGCTCTTGAATGATAACTGCTATAATACAGTTGCATCTTTCATGGCTTCAACCCATCTGCAAAATAGAGAAGCAAGAGAATGTTTTACTTGATGGATAATAACATTTTAATCCTTCACATTTACATTTTCTATTTACATAGCATTCATGTGTACAGGATGGTTTGTATGTACAGAGCCAAAGTAGGCAGAACAGGGATTATTATCCCCACTTCACAGATGAGGAGGCTGAGTCTCAGGTAAAATGATTTGCCTGAGATCACATAGATATTTATTGGCTAAAGCTAGGCCTTGAACCCACCTTTTCTGACCCAAAGTTCAAAATGTTTTCCTTCCATCTAAAAAGGTACAGTATTGAGTATAAGAGGAATACTAAAAAAGGCCAAGGATGTTTCCATTTTCCTTGTTCTGTAATATCCTCATCAATTGGTTATAAAGATGGGAACTCCCATGATGACAATGGTCAGTTGTACTGCCAGTTAGGGAAGTATAAGGACAGAAACTCAGGGAGCAGTGAATGGGTCCTTTTGCTTTGGGGGGCTTCAGGAGGGAGGAGAAGAGTATATGATTACAGACCAGTTCATTCTTAGTACCTCTGTGCTGAATTGGTATCCTCTGCTTTGAAGCTATAAAACAGAGTTTGCTTGTGGTAAAGATGAAAAATGAGTCCTAATTCTCGGTTTCCTTCTTCTGGGGCAATGGTGAAACCCAACAAAGGTATGCTCTCTGTAGCTACTTTATCCTAAGGTAAAAGGAGAATTAATGTTAGATATCTTTCTTCAAATATGTATTATGCATGTGTTATCATCACTTATTTTTAGTGAAGACCCAGAGTATATCATTGTACTATGATGCAATAGGACGAGAACCGTGTTTTAGTCATTTTTGTATCTCCCGCAGGCCTTGTTCTTCATGCAGCTTTGCACACCAGCTTGTAGATTTAGAGCTGGAAGAGAATTTAAAGGCCATGTTGTCCATTGTACAAATGAGGAAACTGAGCTCTAGGGAGGTCATGACTGACTTGGCCCAAAGGTCATAAAAGTAGTAAACATCCAGGATTTGAACCCAGATCTTCTCACATGTAGTAGACAATCAGTAAATGTTTATTGACTTGTGTTAGGCACGTGCTTTGTACGTTACAAGCACAGAGGTAGAAAATGGGACTAGCTTTGAAATACTCATGTACACATATTTGGAGCAGAGGATAAAGTGACATAACTAAGATGAGTTTCCATCTTTCACAGAAGTTTGGTACCTGTGATGTGCTCATTAATACATATCCTCATTACTTCATATCACAGAAGACTCAACATTCCTGTGATAGAAAGGTAGGAGTATTGTGGGCAGTTTTAAAAATGGCCATCTTGCCTTCAGTTTTTGTCCCTGTTGAAAAGTAAGTGTATTTCTGGTTTGTTTGTTTTAACTCAAAAACCAAGCGAAAACAATCAGATTGCAGGCATACAATGAGGGAACATCACTGTGCCTTCACTTTTCACATATGAATTCAAGGATGAAAAAATGTTTAACTGATAACCTCCTTACCAAAACCCTTTTTTAAAAATGGAAACTGAGAGTGATTCTGGTCAGTAGAATAAATTGATGTTTCTGGATTAAATAAAGCTATATATGTATAATATTCACCTTAATTTGGGGGCTCATTCATGTGCCGATATCTTTTTGGCTGATGTCATTCAGGCTTTTCCTACAGCCCCAATTTTTCTAGTTGCCAAGATAAGATTATTTTTCCTTCTATAGTTATTTTTGTAGAGGATTGTTCAGGGGAACCTGGTCAACTTGATGAAATTATAAGGAGGTAAGCCTTTGTTTGGGGTTACATCTTCTTGTGGAGAGTGTGGATATACTCGTTATCACTATCGTGAGGGGGATAGGGATATCTCCTGGACCTAGGTATCTGCCTCATTAAGGATGAGTGAATAAGTCTCAGTTTGAGGGTGAGGCATCATTTGATTATCTCAGATTACCATTGCCACCCCATCCTCTTGGACTGGACCTATAAAAAAGAGGCTTTAACTTCACAAATTTAAAGAGAAAACTTAACCGGGTGCACCCTAATGGCACCTTGGAGGGAAAGAGATAGAAGCACTCATTCTTAACCACGTGGTCTATGGCGTTGTGGCGGCACGAGGCCTTGCAACTCATGCCTTGGTTGTCATTTCTGAGGCTAGAGGGACAAGGGGTGGGCAGGGGGCATTGCTCTATAGCAACGTTTAGGCTTAACTTCCCACTCCAGGGATAAGACAAGGCCTCTGCTTTGTCTTAGCTCTCTGGATAATTTTCACTGCCCGTAGATTTATTGGCTCCCATTTAATTAATTAATTATTTTATTTTATTATTGGCTCCCTCAGAGGCTCTTGTACCTCAAGCACCTGACCAAATCAAAATCACCCCCGAACACTGGAACTTAATAATCCCTTCTTAATAAAATTGAAAGGGCAACAGGCTGATGACTAAACAAGCCTGGTAGGTATCCTCAAGTCCTCTCAAGGTGATAGAGCAATGAACATGTTCACACCCTATATAAGAAGGATGATCAAAGTCCCAAATATGCTATATCCCCAATTCTGAGTAACTGGGAGTCTGGGAAGCCTACATAGGATTGGGCAGTTCACTCAATGCAGCAGTTAGTTGCCGTTTTTGAATACCTTCCCCAGTGACCCTGCACCTATTCCCTACTCCACTTCCAATACCCTCAAAATGTCTATGCTGCCCTCATCTCAGTTTTCAGATGCTATCAAGGTTGATCATTGGTGAAGATTCAGACCTCCCATGGCTGGGTGGGCCCAGAGCTTGTATATAAAATTGTGTGCTTTCTCCTTGTGTGTGGAGGGGCTGTTACTAATTATTTTCTTCTGGAGGAAAAAAAAGTCCAAACACAAAAGTGACTACTTTTATTAAGCACGGAAGCCCATTTTTTTTTTTTTCAGTGTGTGGCCCTATATGTGGCAAGTCCACTAACACATTTCCTTAAGTCATGCACTTTCACTTAGTCCTGAGACGTTTTGGAATGGAAAGGTAGGCCAGGCACCTCCCAGGTTATCTGTTCCTCTACTCCAATGTTTTTTTTTTTTTTTAACATTGTTTTAAAGAAGAAATGCAAGAACTGTAGACTACATGAGCTGCTGGCTTCAGAATGGAAAGCTCCTATAGTTAAGCATAATCCTTGCTCAAAGACCAAATGTGGGAAGAGCAGCCAAAAAGTCTCCCGAGAGCTGTACTCTGTAAAGAAGTCTTAATTTCCCAATATTCAGCAGTCTGTCAGAATGCAATTAGCTAGTAAGTTTTTCAAAGCAGATCTATTGGTTTTGAGAGGCACCAGATGGTAGTCCTAGAGGCTGAAATCCTTCATCCAACCAACTTGTTCAGTCCAGGCCGGGACTGGGTCAGTGCCTCTCATAAAGCTGATTTAGGATAACTCTCTTCACTAGAGCACAAAGTGAGGAAAGCGTGAGTCATTTCCCCTT